TCTCTCTCTCTCTCTCTCTCTCTCTCTCTCTCTCTCTCTCTCTCTCGGCTCTAGCAGTGAAACTGGGAAAAGAACAAGAGATTTCTTTTTATTTTTAAACACTTTATTATTAATTCTGTTTTTAAAAAAATCCAGGGGTTTAGGGGCCATGCTAATCTTCTCTGTATTGTTCCAATTTTAGTATATGTACTGTCGAGTCTTGAATGCATTGGCACAGGAGACCACTTCCTAAATGTAACACCAGTAGCACAGACACCAAGAACAACAATTAATAAATGGGACCTCCTGAAACTGAGAAGCTTCTGTAAGACAAAGGACACAGTAAATAAGACAAAATGGCAGTCTACAGAACAGAAAAATGTCTTCAACCCTGCATCTGACAGAGGGCTGATCTCCAAAATATATAAATAACTCAAGAAACTAGACATCAAAATACCCAACAATCTAATTAAAAAATGGGCTACAGAGCTAAACAGAGAATTCTCAGTGGAAGAATCTCAAATGGCTGAAAGACATTTAAGGAACTGCTCAACATCCTCAATCATCAGGGAAATGCAAATCAAAATCACTCTGAGATACCATCTTACACCCATCAGAATGGCTATGATCAAAAACACTGAAGACAGCTTATGTTGGAGAGGATATGGAACAAGGAGAAGAATCTTCCACTGTTGGTGGGAATACAATCTTGTACAGGCACTTTGGAAATCAGTATGGCGGTTTCTCAGAAAACTGGGAATCAATCTACCTCAAGACCCAGCAATACCACTCTTGGGCATATACCCAAGGAATGCTCCATCATATCATAAGGACACATTCTCAACTATGATCATAGCAGCATTAATTATAATAGCCAGAACCTGGAAACAACCTAGAAGCCCCTCAACTATAGAACAGACAAATAAATTATGGCACATATACACAATGGAGCACTACTCAGCAGAGAAAAACAATGACATCATGAGGTTTGCAGGCAAATTGATGGAACTAGAAAATATCATCCTGAGTGAGGTAACCCAGACTCAGAAGGACAAACATGGTATTCACTCACTCATAAGTGGATACTAGATGTAAAGCAAAGGATAACCAGACAACAACCTACATCTCTAGAGAAGCTAACTAACAAGGAGGACCCAAAGAGGGACGCATGGATTTGCCCTGGGAAGGGGAAATGGATGAAATCTCCATGAGCAAAATTATTTTAATGTCAAGAGATCAAAGTGTGCCCTAAATAAATGATTACAGTAATATACAAGACTGTTAAGAACAATACTTGTTTGTAAAATCAAAAAATTGCAAACACCAAAATGTCGATCAAAAGGTGATGGATAACCACAGGAAGATGCACCAGCATTGAAGTTTTTTAAGAACAGATAATTAATGAATTAATGAATAAACCAAGTTGCAAAAGGGTAATTTATATGTAGCACCACTTTGTGAGGCTTGAAAACATACAGCACAATAGTACATATTTATGGATACATAAATATTGAGTAAAAGAGTTGGGAAAGACATGGGAAAGAAAACCACTAAATTCAGAATAATAATTACCTTGTGGCAGATTTAGAATACAGTCATTGGTGAGTGAGTGGATGGGGCTTCAATTACATTGCATAATACCTTAAGCTGTCAGCAGCTATGTAAGAGTTGGTTGCATCACTGTATTTGGCCACTGACATGGTGGACAAGTTGCGTAATGAAGAAAGAATCCATTTGTAAGAAATGTGCCACTCAGGTGAGGGACGTTCATAGTGTGAGAGACTGAGCATGTTTAGAGACAGGGTGTTTATGTTTAGAGACAGAATACTTATAGTATATATCTCTGCCTTCTGGATTAAGCCATGAACGTAAAACTACAACATGTATGGGTGGTTAAAATACCTTGCTACCAAACCTGGTAACCTGAATTTAATCCTTAGGACCACATGGTGAAAGGAAAGAATCAACCCTCATGAGTTGTCTTCTGACCAATACATTTGTTCCATGGCATGAGTGCCCCCCATTTCACACACACACACACACACACACACACACACACACACACACACACACGCACACATGCACGCGATTCATTAATTAATTAATTAATTAATGTTTAACAAAAACCGTAGGTATCCAGGTGCGGTGGTGCACACCTTTAATCCCAGCACTCAGGAGGCAGAGGCAGGTGGATCTCTGGGTTCAAGGCCACCCTAGTCTACATAGTGAGTTCCAGGAAAACCAGGGCTATATAAAGAGACACTATCTCAAAAAACACCAAAAATATTCATAGGTTTTATTTTTGTTGTTAAATTCAAGCCAAAAGATTGGTAGTCACCAGACAGGATAGAAAGGAGAATGACTAGAGAATTAGGGATCCCATAGGTGGAACACATCATTCCTGCTCTCTGCTCATCTGGAACATCTGCAAATGGGCTTGATTGCCAGTGTGCATATGAGAGGACTATGACATGCAATGCCAAGCCCTTGGGGCTAGTGTTTTCATTAGTGACTTCAACAAGAGTAAGCTCAAATGACAGCTTTCCTTCTGTCTTCTTAGTTTCTGACACTCCTCTGTGTAGCAGGAATCTTAGAAGGTACTTATTAATAAAATCAAACCTGAGGCCAGTTATTGGGGTGAACACTGGAAGATCAGAGAGACAGAACAAGCCACAGCTAACCTCACCTGGTCAACTTCTCAGCTGATCTTGTTTCCTCAGATTGGAAGCCTCTGTGTCCTCATATCCATCCAAATGGCTCTCAGCTGAACTGTGCTGCTCAAAACCTAAAAGCTTAACCAGTTAGAAGCTTAACCAGTCAAATGCTTCTAGTTCCTGGTCTTCACACCTTATATACCTTTCTGCTATCTGCCATCACTCCCTGGGATTAAAGGCATGAATCACCATGCTTGGCTGTATCCTTGAACAGATGGATTTCTGCCTCTGGAATGCTAGGATTAAATGCGTGTGCTACCACTGCCTTTCCTAAGTATCTAGTGGCTGTTCTGTTCTCTGACCCCAAATAAGTTTATTAGGGTACACAATATTTTGGGGAACACAATACCACCACACCTCTGTGTTGGTATTCTTTCAGCATAGAGTTCAAAGGGGAAAATGAAGCTTGGGAAATGAAGTTTCTTTGCATGGTTGCCATTACTATTAACCACCACCATTTCTCCAGTATAACCAAAATTCTGGAAACTAAATCTAGGATAGGAGAAGCGGGAAGAAGTATGCAGAAATTAGACTGGAGACACACACATTCACACACACACACACACACACACACACACACACACACACACACACACACACCCTCTCCTTAAAATAAAAACACATTTACAAAGGCTGCAAACAGTCACCTCATAACCATGACCATTCTATTAACTTCTGCTGGATTCCTGAAGCTACTCACCATCTCGCTGAGGAAAGAAAATATGTGGGAAAGAATAAATGAATTTAGGATCAAGGACCACTTTGAGGTGATGAGCCAGGCAGAAATAACGTGTGAACAACCAGGGCCAGCATGAGAATATGGAAAACATGGGGTACTTGAAAAGAGACTGAAGAACAGAAGGTGTCAGGCAAGGAAATTAACCTCCAAGACCTGATGGGGAATTCCTTTTAAGGATGACAGGAGCATTATGGATCTTATGCCATCATGTTCTCCTGTTTGGGTTCCAGAGTATGAGGTTGGAAGTATTTAGTACACTGGCTATGTCCACCCTGACCTGCCACATGACAGAGCCTCCCTTTTTCCTTGTCCCCGACCTCCCCTTGAGAAAATAAAAAGCCCCATTCCTCATTTCTGTTGCTGAGGAGGCACCATGCACGTAGAAACATGGAGAGCATACACATACTGGACACATTACATGAATCCTCCCATGTAAAGTGATTCCTAAATGGGCATCTCTTTTTCTGGGTACAACTCTGGGTAACAGCAGAGAGAGTAAAGGTGGAGAGGAATTCAAAACTGGAAATGTAATTCAAGGATTGAGTATACAGGGTTTGGCTAATGATATTTGAATTAAGGAAAAGTTGTGGAGGGTGGGAGTTGAAGAGAGGCTGATTAGAAGGCAGAGGGGCAGGATGATGGTGTTTTTAATGGGCTGTTATAGGAGTCTGAAAACTGAACAGAAGTGTCTATGAGGCACAAGGATCTGTAGGTCTGGAGCCTAGTTCTGTGTTTATTAAGTTATTTTCTTATCTCACTCCACATTGTATCTTAGGCCATATCTTTCATCCCCCAGGTACTATGTTTGTTCTGGTAAAGCCCAAAAGTATACTTCCAGCCCAGACCATGCCACCACATGCCAGATCTGCAGATCCCTGTGCTTTGTGTACACTTCTACCAAGTTCAATGCTTCCTGAAGCAATGTGTTAGTGTGGAGGTATGAGCACACAGATATCTGAAAACACGTGGAAGACAGAGATTGATGTTAGTTCAGATGTCTTTTTCTATCCCATTTCAACTTTTTTTTAGGATTTATTTTCATTTTGAATTATGTGTATGTGTGTGTGGAGGCCAGAAAAAGGCATCTGATCTACTGAAACTTGAGTTACAGACAGTTGCCCATTGTCTGGCACAGTGTTAGGAACTGAATAAGGATTGTCTGCAATCCTTACTCACTCTTAACCACTGAGGCATCTCTCTAGCCTCCTTCACTTTTATTGCTGTTGTTGATGATGATGTTGTTTGAGACAGGAAGTCTTACTGAATCTAGAGTTCACTGATATGGCAAGACAAGTTGGCCTGTGAGCTTCAGGGATCATCCTGTCCCTACCTCCCTAGCACTAGTACTACAGATCTGGTTTTTATGTAGGTGCTAGGGATCCAAGTCAAGTCTCTCTGCTTCTCTGGTAGGAATTTTACCCAAGGAGTCATGTCTCCAACACCTGTGCTTATCTATAGTCACCTACAAAACCAAAAAAGCCCCAAGAAGAAAATGAAAATATTGCGCTAGAAATACAATACATTTGATTTAATTAGCAACACTATGTCATTGTTACCATAACTACTGTTTACTTCAACTGTGGTCCCTTTTGCAGGAATTCAGGAATTACTGGAGAGAAATTCATCTGAAAAGCAACCATGAGAAAGATGTCATACTTAGATAGGATAAAATGATGTTTGTCCCTCAAACCACTTTGAACAATCCTTCATTTCATTTGTCAGGATTGATCTTTTTGGGAAAAACACTGTTTTGGTGCAGACTTTACATACTGGAT